TGTGGTGGGGATGTATCTGATGCAGTTGACAAGGTATTTACTGAGTTCCCGCCCATGAATGTATGCAGTAATGTTTTTTGAAGAGCTAAGCCAGGTAACTATAACTTGTGGTACTGTAATAACCTGTAAAAATCAATTTAGATACCATCACATACTTGGGAATAAAAAGTTACCTTTTAAATAGCAGTGAAAAGGTTTTGTTATCCAGTGTGACCCTTGTCTTAGAAGAACTTGCAACAACTTGGCTGTGGTTTTTTATTAGAATTGAATGGCAAGAAATTGGTTTCCTTCAAGTGTAACTGATGGTTTGCAGTTTCTTTATCAAATCCTTGTCAGTTAAATGAAATGTATTTTTCTGTTTCATTCCAAGGCTTTACAACTCAAAAAGGTGAACAAGAACTGAAATGGGGAATTACAACCTCAAGTTAAATAAATTATTGTTGTTGATAGTTGTTGTGTCCTACACACCTGTCTCTCCGTTTTTACATTCTTTTCCAAATAGATGCATGGACATTTTCGCCTAGTTATATAACTTTAGCCAGGAAAGTTCTTATGAAATATTCGGTCAGCCAAAATTCCATTAAAATGTTAAAATCAATGATTTTTACGATAGATTAGGAAAAATAGCACATACTGATTTTGGGATGTGAACGTAAAGTACAAACTAAGACATAAAAGTGTCTGACGTCTTTTTTACTGGATTTATAAAAACGTTTGAATATTATAGTGAAAGGTTTTTTTTTTATTTCACTCTTGCGGATGCAAAGGAAGAAAGCATAACCACTACTTACTTTAAAAGAGGAGGTAGAATTGATGACAGTAAGGTGAGAAAGAGTGTAAGTGCATGCGACTTGCTGAGGCAGCTAAAGGGAAGTTCTTGAAGACGGTATTCAGCGGATCACTGTTGCAAGAAACACTTTGTGGGAGGACACTGTTGCACTGTTTAAAAGCACAGGGTTTGATCCCACTCCTAGGGTAAGGTTTGAGGATGAAGAAGGAATTGATGCTGGGGGTCTACGGATGGAGTACTTTACTCTTTTGATGAAGGCAGTAACCAATCATCCAGCTTTACTAGAAGGCCAAGAAAACAAAAGAGCCATTACATACAACACAAGTGCCCTTCAAAGCAATCTTTATTTCTTTGCTGGTCGCATGATTGTGGTGCAATTATGCATTGTGACATAGGTGTGCCTGTTTTCTCCAAGAGTATGTATTACTTCATATCACATGAAACTGTGGACATGACAGAAATGCCCCACTCCGCAGGACATCCCAGATTGCTCTGCTGTGGAACTGATGTGCAAGGTAAGGCTGCCCACCCTGATGACAATGTAGGTATATTTGTAGATTTTGTGCTTAATAGAATTTTCTTAAGACATCCAAGACAAGATTGATTCACCTAAATTGTTCTAACCACCAACTGTTGATACATGTGCAGCTGGTTCTTTTAATAGGTAAAGTTTTTTGAAGGGACACCACATCATACTGCAAGTTACATGATCAAGTGATATATATGTTTCACCTTTTATTTCTTCAAAGGTTGAAAACGCAGGATCTCAAAAGGACTTAGAAAACCTTCAGGATGATTTGTCCGAGCTATTGCAAGCTGCAGGGTGGGATGAGGTGCTTACCTATGAGAAGCGCGTGGTTGCTATGTAGCTAGTAGCTGCCTATGAAACCTTCTACAAAAGAAAGCTTTCCATTGACCAGTTCTGCAATGGGTTGGATGTTCTTGGCGTGTTAAATCTTATCAGAAGCCATACTGAATCGATGCAGACATATTTTATACACAACACAGACACCCTGTTGACCCCAGCACTTCTCTTTGACCGGTTCCACAACATTGACAAGGTGGAGGATGGAACAAGAGAAGTAATGAGACAACACTTGAAGAGGTCCATATCTGAGTGCTTTGACGGTAAGAGTTGTTACAGTAGTTAGTTTTACGTCTTTAATAGACTGTATCCTGTCCCCTATTTTCCATTTGTTTGTCAAGGAATACGCTGTCTTGATTTTACATGGCGAGCTTAACCTTTGTAGAGTCGAAAGTTTTCGTGGAGAGAGAGAGGGAGACGTTGTATTAAGACTTCTGGAATCCCTGAAAGATGTTATTAAGGCCCTTCAGCAAAACACATGAAACCAATAATTAAGTACAATGTTTAACCCTCATCAAGCATTCAATGTTGATTTCAATGTATTTGACACATTATAGAACTTCATGTGTAAGCGGTTGTTCAATTTGAAGGTAATTAAAATAAAATTCCTGTGACTGCAAGTTTGATGAGTACTGTGACCTTGAACAATAATTATTGCATTCCTGGGAATATTGTTCATCCAGTTAATTCCAAGTTGGAGAGCAATTAGTCCTACTACACATACTAATGACTGTTTTTCTTTTCCAATCCAGAGTTTGGGTCTTCAAAACTAAATGAATTTCTCATGTTTGCAACAGGACTTGGGGCTCTACCTCCTTTGCAGCTGGATGAGAAGATCACTATTTACTACAGAGAAGATACCTGTCCTCATGTCTTTAAAGAAACATGTACAATGGAACTAAAAGTTCCTACTGTTCATGATCAGTATAGTAAATTTTACAATAGTTTCCAGGAAGCTTGCATGCACAATGCAGCAGGGTTTGGTTGTATGTAAACAGTTCAAATAAGACCATGTATCAAAAGGCAGTTCACATGTTCATTTTCTGATTTTCACATCCTTTGTTACATTTCTTGTTGAAGCCGTATTTGACATAATGATTATCCGCCGATTACATTAGATGTAAACAGTTGTACAATAGTGGTATTGACATTAATTTTTGAAATTGAAACATGCCAAGTGTGCTAACTAAGGATAGCCAGGTGCTTACATTGACCACTGCCTATGGTTAGTGGATTTTACTGCAAATATGTTTTTCTTACTGTGCTGACCAATTATTCAGGTTTTCTTGGCACCAATATTTCCGTAACACTCAACAACCTGTACTGTTTGCCCGTTAAAGGTGAAGTTTGTTAATCATGTTGCAAGACGTGAAGTAACAAACAGTAAAGTTTGAATAAAAATATCAATTCCATAATAGTCACTGTCCCTCAGTGGGTCTATGGCTTGTTTTAGTTCTTGTGTTTATTGTATATTTAGTGGGCACTCTGTCAAGGGCAATTCAATAATTTCATTCGAATCTCACTCTGGCAATGGACCATCCCAATCTAGACCGTATTTCTTAATCTCATCCTGAAATTTATGCAACAACATCAATTTTATTTAGTAACTATATATTTTATTTTATTATTGTTGTTGTTTTTTTTATTCATGGGGAGGCTGGGGTGATAAATGTTCTCTATTCAGACAACATAATTTCTTGTAAAGCTGGCAAACAAGCATTGGTTAACTTCTATTTCCACTGATATAATGCTAATTGCTTAAGTAAGGGCTAGCACTTCCCATTTTAACCACCAACAAAAACAGGACACTATGAATGTGATTGCCTCTGCCATAGGTGACATTCCAAATGTTAGGAACAAAAGTGATGATGTCATAATCTATGGAGTGAATGTTCAGGAACATGATAAGGCTCCCCATGCAGTGCTGACTCGTTTTCAAGAGCTGAACCTCACTCTTCGCAAAGACAAATGCCAGTTCTACATGCCCCGAATTGAGTTCTTTGGTCTTCCTCTGTAAGTGACGTCAGAAGCCTGCTTGGCATGAGAAACTATGTATCGCGTTTTATCTGTAATTATGCAGACATTGTTGCTCCATTGCATGACCTCACCCACAAAGGCGTCAAATTCAAGTGGCAAGAGGTCCACCAAAAGGCGCTACGCCAGCTGAAGTGCAGTCTCACCACTGATGAAGTCATGGCTTACTTTGATCCTCACAAGAAAACTGTCCTGTTTGTGGATGCCAGTCCAGTTGGGTTAGGTGCTATGCTGACACAAAGTGGCAAAGTGATCATCTCCTATCCCAGTAAAGCACTCTCCAGTGTAGAACGGCGCTACTCCCAGATTGAACCAGAAGCATTGGCCATCACTTGGGGTTGTCATCACTTCCGCATGTACTTGCTAGGAAGCCACTTTAAAGTGATAACAGACCACAAGCCCCGGTTGCATATCTTCAACAGTCCTACTTCCCAAGCTTCAGCAAGAATTGACAACTGGCGTCTGAAGTTGCAGTCATTTGATTTCGACGTTCTGTACTCAAGAGGGGATTTAAATCCAGCTGACTACATACCAAGACACCTTCAAGCTGCCACTCAGTGTGACCTGATTGTTGAGTCTGCAGAACAGTATGTTAACTTTGTCATGACACAAGCCACACCCAAGGCACTAAGCAAAGATAATATTATCAAGGCTACAGCACAAGATGCCACTCTAAAGGAAGTGAAGCATCTTATCTCAAATGGCCAGTGGAACAACCTGAAGCCAGTGAATGGAGTTGACCCAAATACTCTTAAGATTTTTGCAAATGTTCGGAATGAACTTACCTCAGTGGATGGTAACATTGTCCTTCATGGAAATCGAATTGTAATTCCTGTTGCTCTTCAGAAGCGTGACATTGAACTGGCTCATGAGGGTCATCAAGGCTTAGTCAAGACCTGCAGTTTGCTGAGATCTAAAGTTTGGTTTCCAAAAATGGATACTGCTGTTGACCAAGTTGTAAAGAAGTGCTTTCCGTGTCAGACTGCCACACCAAAACCCTCCTGGGAACCGTTCAAAATGACCCCTCTGCCTGATGGTCCTTGACTTTTGTGAAGTAGCAGGACATTATGTTCTAGTAGTGATTGATGATTACTCAAGATTTCCTGAAGTTGAGATTGTGCATTCGACTTCTGTGAAAGCGGTCCTTTCAAAGTTAAATCGCGCATTTGCCACTTATGGTGTGCCTCAAGTTGTCAAGTCTGATAACGGTCCTCCTTTTAATGGTCACGAGTTTGCCCAGTTTGTAGATTATCTTGGTTTCAAGCACTGTAGAGTTACTCCTCTGTGGCAAATGGTAAAGTGGAATGCTTCATGAAAACATTTGGCAAGGTGTTTCGTACAACTTCTAACTGGAAGCAACAGATGTACCAGTTCCTGCGAAACTATCGAGCAACTCCTCATTGTACTACTGGTGTCGATCCTGCCACTACCCTCTTTAGAAGACCAATCAGGATCAAGCTGCCCTGCCCTTTGCTGTTCCATGTGAGTCAAACTTGAAACCTGCACTAATGCGTGAGCATGATGCCCGCCAGAAACTCAAGATGAAGACCCTCGCTGAGAGCAGGAGACCTATTAAGGATTCTGACATACACGTTGGAGATACTGTGTTGGTAAAACAACCAAATACGGGGAAGTTCTCCTCACCATACCATCCGGTACGACCAAAAGTCATAAAAAAGAACCACAGTATGCCGACGGCTGAAGGAGGCGACCGAAGTGTGACTTGCAATTCTTCCCATTTTAAGAAGCTTCACAAAGACCATGCAGATCCAGTATCAGTTGACATCAACTCAAGTGCAGTCCCAGTATCAGTTGACACCAGCTCAAGTGCAAGTGCCTAAGCTGAACTCCCACTAAGGAGGTCTGCTTGTGAGTCCAAACCTCCCAGGAGACTGATTCAAGAAATGTGACTACCGACATTTTTTTGTTGTTGTCGAACTCAGGTTATGGTGTTTTGATTAAGAACATCCGAGAACATCTAAGATTAAGTTTAAGTGAAGTTCAGAGAACTTTACACTAGGTCAGGACATTTTCCAGAATAGCATGCTTATGGGACCTACTAATACACATTATGCTGCATGCTTTTTGTTAGTAAGGTTAGATTATTATTTTGTCTCTTTTTGTTTGTTCATGTTATATACGAAAGATTGAGGAAAGGACTCAACAGGAAGAAATAAAAAACAAAATGCAGAGAAAATATCTGAGGTTTTTATCTATTCATACAGTTTAAAAAAAGGAAAAAGAGAGGGACAGCGCATTCAAAGCAGTTTGAAGGGATGCAAGGAAAAGCAACTTTTTAAGGGACACCATTTTTTAATGAAAATTACACGAAAGAGGACACCTTTTCAGTCAAAAATGGTATAGAAATGGGTAATGGCTTCATTCCAGTTGGGGCAGTGACTCCCTGTATAAAACTTTATTAGGTACCCCATGTCGTCGAGCATGTCAATGTTGCATTTGATGTGCTGATCAGGAAAACGAAGATATTTCAGTAAAACTGATTGATGAACACCTAAAATCATGCTCTTGTAACTAATTACTGAGATTTTAAGCATGTCCACCTACTCTTTTCTAACATTCCCCAGCACAGTATTCTTCCAATTTCATCGCATAATAACAGAAAATCTGGTAAGCAGATAAGCAAATTTACCATTTTGGGACTGAGTTGTTGAATAATAATAATAATAATGATTGTTTATTCAACCTTTTTGCAGCATAAACTGAATTACAAGGCGGGTCATTAATTACATACAAATACTTCAGAATTATCACACGTAAATATAACTGTTACTGTGAAGACAAATCACATTTCGCTATGGTCGTCCGAACGTTTCAAAATTCGCAAAACTTAAATTCGTTGTTGCTAACTTGAAGTCGTTGTCGCTAAATTTTATTTTGTTGTCGCTAACTTGAAGTCGTTGTCGCTAAAATTAAACTCGTTGTCACCAACTTGAAGTTGTTGTCGCTAACATTAAATTTTTCGTTGTCGCTAACATGAAGTCGTTGTCGATAACTATGAAGTTGTTGTCGCTAAAATTAAGTGAACTCGGTATCGCTAACTATACCAAGGCGCTAAAATTTACTAAGGGAGTGGAGAGAAGGGATTTGAAGGTTCCCGTATGAAACCGAGGAGGCCTAGGAACAAGTCAATTTTTTGTTTTTGGGCTTCCTATGTTTGGGAGCAAACGTGGCGGCCTGGGCACTACTTCGGGTAAGATTGGGCAGGGCATGATAGATCTTCCCATGTGCTTTTTCCAAAATGACGGACGAGGCCATAGTACTAGCAGCTAAATACAGGAATTGCACCGACCTGTGATTGGAAGATAAAAATAGTATGTCAGTGGCGATGACGTGACAATTCGTTACATTAGCCATTTCAAGAGTAATGGTTTTTACACGAAAAAGACAGTCCACAGGAAAATACAATATAATATTAAATATTTCTCAAAGACAAACAGTGCAGTATTCTTTTGAAGTCGGCTGACTCCCTAAGAGTCAATGTCTTATCGAAGTTGAAGTTCAACT